CTTCAATTTTGTATACTTGATCACAATTCGAATTGATGAGACGAAACCTTGCTCTTTCCCTTGCAGATAAATTTAATAAAACATTAGAAACCACTTCCGGTAAATTAAAAACAGAATAAATCTGCTTCTCTCCATCATCCTCTAATGACATTTTTTTATCCAAATTGTGACCAAGAATACAAAACACAAATATTCGAAACTAAACTATTTATTCTTTGCATCATTGATTTACAAATCTCTAACAAAAATTCTCTCAACCAACTTTCTTCCATTAAGAGTTGAACAAAATTGCACAACATCATAATTACGTTGTTCAGCCAACTTGAATCCCTTATCACTCAACAATTGGAATAAAGTCCAAGAACCATTTGTCATAATTCCCTTAAGTTTGGAGACAACTTGTCCATTCTTATTGAAAATTCTCTCAATTCCAGCGTACAAATCTAAATTGGCGCCACTGGTTGGAATTCTGGCAATTCTTTCGCCGGCTGTGGTTCCTGTTGGATATTCGATTCCAAAAACATATTCGAAAACAGAGTCGCTGCACTTGAATTGAGACCAGATTTCATTGCTGCCGTCATCTTGTTCGACACATTTTTCGAGGACAATGAGGAATTGTTGTGGCATCTTTTTATGATTGATTGGTTTTTGTTTTTTTTTGTTGTGAAATTTTGTGAGATTTTGCAGCAGTTTTTATTCGAAAGTTGGATGGACACGAGAATGGCGCAGTGGAAAGTTCACCAGAGCTGCATATTGTAATGGATAGAATGTTGCAGAACAAGGACAAACGCTGGAACTATCGTTGTCCATGACACTTCAATCTCATACCTTGATGTAAGGTTTTGGACAATTGACAGAATAAATTTGGATATGATTGGCCGCAAATTAGATAAATGGTAGGTATGTCACTCACTTTTGTAAATTGTATTATACTGTTGTAATTGTACTACAATTATTTGGACACATGTCAGAAAATCGTAGTGGGTGCCATCATTACAATGAAACTGACTCTTCTCTTATTTGACATATGGTTTGTTCAGCAACACCTCTTCACATAAATTTATTTCAATCAGTTCAACTGAAATATCTCTAGGAATATAAAATTGAACATTGAATATGACCGTAATCCACACATCAAAATACGATAAAACCTGAAAATGCAGATTAGATTGGTGGATGCTTTTCCACACAATTTCAGGATCCAACAAGGAGTTTCAACCGGAGTTCACAATAAAAAAAATGTCAGCATCAGATACTTCCCTGCATCGTGCCAACAGCAACAACAAAGTCACACTAAACGTTGCCATTTGTCAATGCGATATAAAATTCAAACAAATAGACATTAACAAGGAACACATTTCACACATGCTTTCTCCACTCGATTCGAAATTAATTGATTTTCTCGTCTTTCCGGAAATGACACTCTCTGGCTATGTTTTCAAAGATAGGGAGGATATCTTTCCATTCTGTGAGAGATCTGGTCCTGGTGGAGAGTATTT